CACCAAGCAACTAAATAACAGGGTAACCACAAAACACCTCCTGTCCTCAGTTATCACGGGAAAAAGACAGAATTAAAAATCGGCCTGCCCTCCCCCAGGATGGGACCACAGGGGGGGTGTACATTTTCAGGCTCCTCTCCAAGTCAGAATAACAAACCAGACAGCAAAACGAAACAAACCCCCAAACATACTACTGTCTTTATCAATCATTTCTGACCCCTCACACGAGCACATTGCAAATCGAGGCTCTGCACTTATGCCAACTCTGATACCACTTGATTGCTGGGAATGTTATTAAAGGCCACGGAACGTCAGCAACAGGTCCCTTTGCCTGCCAAAGGCAGTCGGGAGCTCCCCAGAAGGCTCTCTGTCCCAGCGGACAGGGGTGTGCAAAACTCTACGGTAGGAATACAATATCTTACAGCATTTCCTTGCTTTCAAGTGTTGTACATGGATAGGCCAGGTCAGCAATACCCAATTTCAATTCCCTTCCAAAGAAGCGCAGGGGAAGCACCACAGGGTTTACTCATGCGCAAGACTTCCTCGCCTCCTAGCCAAACTTGCCCGCTAAATGCACGCATCAACACTCAGAAAAGAAATATGATCTTCTAAAGTTCTCAAAATGACTGTTTCAAGTTTTTCCTTACGTTACGTTGGGAGCTTCTCACCAATCCTTCTCTACCGTGTTTGCTCAGAAACACAAAGGGACACAGCGACAGCTGGGAAACCTCTCCATGTGCTGCCAACATTGCACCCAGCCTTCAAATAGAAGTTAAGGGTTCCTTGTACCTGCACTGGGAGACACACGTGTGCATCCACCACATCACAAGGTGGTGTGTGCATGCCCTACTTTCTCCTTGCCTGACCCATGTATACAGGACAGTCTGACCTATACATCCCTCGGTTCCTTCCAACCGCAGAACGCGGTTTTGCCCAACCTGACTTTGCTAGGGATCACTCATAAGCTGCGAGTCTCTGTCCCAGTGCAGACTAAGCGCAACCAAGTTCTGTCTTTGTGCCTTCTGGATGAACAGCAGTGCTGAGGGATCAGTGGCTGGTGGCAGAGAAGATAAGCAAGACTGATAAACAGGTTTTAACTCACCCGTCTGAACGAACTGGAGTTGCAGCCAAACACAATGGATGCAACCACAGCAAACCCACCTTGTTTTAGTCTTCGTGCATTCAGGGGTCTTGGAGCCAAACACTGAGGGTGTTTGCTGAAGGCAAACATGATCTCCTGCAAGCAGAACAATCATGAGATCTGCCTCTTGGGCAGTCTTCTGCTCTTTTCATCATTGGGTAAAGCCCTCGACTCAGAAGATAAAGCCAGGCTTTAAGGAGCACAGAGACCCAAGTCAGGCTCAGCACAGCAGCCAACAACCAACCAGGTGGTAGATGGACCTGCACGTGTGGCCTTCTCAAAAAGCATGGAGTGTGAGCACCTGGCCAGGCTTCAGAGGCACAGACAGACCGACGAGGCAATGAGTGCATTCATCAGACACAAATATCTCACAAAGAAGAAAGGCATAACCTGCTTCTCCTACGCTGCTGATTTTATCCTCCTTTTTCAGAGGGCCAGAGCTGAAAGTAAAGACAAAAAGGCAGAAAGAACACATTGATGAAACAGGCCAACTGCCCAAAATGAAAAGGCACGAGTCTGAGTCAAATCCTTAGAGTCAGCAAGAAAGCGCTGTGGAAAAAAACTACTTGACATATCAAGAGCTGAGGTGAAATAATAAGTTTGAGCAGAAAACCAAATGGAAAAAGGAGAAAAGAAAAGATGCCCTGATGAAATATCTACAACTATCCTGCAACAGCAGCTCCTCAGGGAAGGTTTAAATGCTCTGCCTGAAGGAAAGGGCAGTGGAGAGAAGGGAAAGGCAGGGCGTGCAGAGCCCCGTGCACCACGTAGCACGGACGAGGCAGGCCACACAGACTCCACGAGCACCAGCTGGTCAAGGTCGCTGGCACCACATTCCCAGCATGAACGTGCAGCTGGTTATTATGCCTTATTTTAGATAGCACATGCAAAAAAGGCAAGTAACTTCTTTTAACAATAGCTCTTTCCTTCTCAATGAACATACCCTACGCACATCAGGTATTTGCATCGTGTGTGTTACTGCAAACACAGTTTCCTATCAAAACAGCCAAATGGGAACAGGTCTAATGCTTTGTGTTTTCCCACTATGCCTACGTGGAGTAGGCACGTTGGACCAAATTCACGCCTAGAATAACGACATGTCAATCAACAACAAAGCTTGTCATCACAATTTTGCTTAAGTTGGTCTTCTGAAACAGCAAACCCATTTTTTCCAAAGCCTTACGGATTCCCAGATACTTCTGTATTATTTACTCCCCATAAATTTTAGTTTTCAAACAGCTTTGCTGAGACAAGTACAGAAACCAAAGAAAGGGTGGGCTGTATGTGAGATGGCTAAAGGTCACGGGAATGATTTATGGGAGGGTTTATGCCTTTGTTGCAGGATCTGATGTGTCATTATTCTTGCAACTACGTTTCAAAGGTATTATTTTTCTAAACACAAATCCCCTTTCCTTCCCTCAAACTCCATGATGTTTCTAACTGAAATTAAGTTAGCACTTAACAAAAGCAAAACACTGTAATTTTAGAACTGTATCACTTCAATTTGTTTTATTTTTATAGTCACAAGAGAAGGAAAACCTTTAGTTCCTGTGAGCCTTTTGTCATGACAAACCACAACGATAATTACTAGGAAGCTGCTCTGGTAAAACCTCCCAAACTGACTGTCACTGGGAAGCCAGACCAACATTCCCAAAATAACAACTCACGAACTGGTATTACTGGAGTCGCAGAACACAATGCCTTTAACGGACATAACCACCAGCCAGCACCCCGTAACTATTAGCCCGCTCTGGTGTTTGTGACCAGTACGATTCACGCTTCTGCCACAAGGTAGGAGGTTACTTTGTGTAGCACATTACTCAAAGGCTGCGCTACCTAGCACAAGTCCGTGCAGCGACCCATCAAAGTGTTTTTAGCTGGAATGGGCTTTAATCACAGGATGACTGTAAGTACCTACTGCATAGTCCCTTGAAGTTCCCTTGTTAGTAGAGACGGGGACCCAAGAACTTACTTTGATCTGTGAACCTTCCAAAGGCAGATTTTTTTATTTTTTTTTTTTACAGACTTCGGAGTAACTTCATGCTTTCCCCAGGGTCTTAATTATATTTTCACTTTGAAAACAATTTTTTTAAAACATCCCAATCTTTCGGCTAACCACAATTTAGATGACAATTCAATTACAGCACAGCATACGAGTACCTTTCCACCGGCAGCACAATGCTGACACCATCCACGTGCCAGCCTGAGCCCCCAGAAAAAGCATTTTAGTCCGTGACAAAAATAGGGTTTCAGAGAAAAAAAGAAATTATCATACTTATCCATTCTGCCATTTAATCCTCTTAAAGTTGTCCATATTGCATGGATACAGAAATGAGCAAATTAATGGCTAATGGGACATGGTTGCATTGCTGAATGGGTGGTGCGCATCCAGAAATCCTAAAGCCAACACAGTAGAAAGTGCAGTGGTTCCGATTTGCGGAGGAGGACAACACAGGACCAACAAACAGGCTCAATAATCCTGCTCTCTTACCTCTGCTCTTGAAAACCAGCAGGTGGTAGCTTGGAAATTAAGTAGTAGAACAAAAAAAAAAAAAGAAAAAAAAGAAAGAAAAAATAGTTTGGCAAAAATTACAGCACTATTTACAGAAGGAAGAAAGGAAGGGAATGAGCAAAATGTGCTGCCAGAAATATAGAAGTGCACATATTTTAGCATGACATAGGCTTCAGTAGAGACAGAGACATCAGATAGCTTCTAACAAAAAACTCCACCACCAGTGCTTTGCATCAGTCGATTAGAAGCCTCCTGTGTTACCCAGATTATGTAGAAGCTCTCCTCCTCTGCTTTACTTTGTCTCCCCACAGGATAGTGCTTATCTCAGAAATGAAATACTGAAATCACCTTAGGTGAGGAAACTGCGAAAGCAAGCAGGATAAAGGCATCTTTGCAGACACTCAAAGAAACAGCCGAAGCAGTGGCTGTCTCAGCGTGAAGTGACTAATCAGAACAAGCTGTCACAAAGGAGCTCTAACCTTTACCATAGGAAATACTCCGCCCAAAGCACGCACTGGTCTAAAGACAAAAATGTGATATTGCCATGGATTTAAATAGACAGGCTGTGTGCAAATTATATATTTAAACTTTTCTGAGAGTGGTACTTCAAAGCACTGTTTTAAAGAAGGCCTTCAAGAACATGGTGATGAAGACAAAGACAGCGCTGTCTTGAGACAAAGGGCTACTTAATTCTATGTCTGTTTCAACATAAAACTCTCAAAGTGAAAAGGGATTCCAAAGAAAAATGTCAATAATAATTTATTTCCAAAGCTCACCAGGAATTCAGATGGAACTAATAGAGTGTTCAGCAAACACCTTGTCCTTGTGCCTGCAAAAATACAATCTTTCTGAAAAGTAAGGCTGTCAGAAGTGTATAGGTACCTGGGGTTTTGGGTGATTATAAAGAAGAGAACATTCGCCCATTAGAGGACATAATTCCTCTTGCCGCTCAGACTTTGAAGAGCTTTGGGGGCCTTTGAAATATTGTGAGCCATTTAAAATGTAAGAATCCATAGAGGAAAAAAGTCCACAGCGTAGGCCAACAAAAGAAAGAAGAGTCATATTTAGTGCCCTGGTCATCTCCTGGTATTAAGCCCAACTTATGAGAGGTCTCAAGAGGTCACAAACACTCATGTTCCTTCTGCAGAAATCCAAGCACAAATCCACACGGCAGGTTAAGTTTGTGTAAGAAAAGCAATTCATCAGCGTCTCCCCCAAATGCTACCTACAGAACAGTGCTGCTTTTACAGCACTTCGGTTATCCTGAACAATCTGTCACAGCCCAGTGACGGTGGTGCTCTAGGATCTGGCAGCAACGCACCAGCGTGCCCAGGATAAACCACCTACCTGGCTCCTCCACCCCCAAGCACCAGCGCGATGGCGTTTCCAGTCAGAACACGAGCCAGGCGAGAAAAATCAGAGTGACGGTCTGGTGGTTTCTGGAATACGCGTTCGTACATCTCTATCTGCAGAAGAGAGGCAGAAGATGGTCATTCTAAAGGCAGGGTAGAGTCTATGCTACCAGCCAACAACATACTGCTAAAAAGCGGAGAGCTGTTCTTCAAAGGAAAGGAGGGTTCAGAACAATCCAAACAGTTCTAGTGATCACATGCTTCTCTCATACTTTTGTAGTAGTTGGGAGGATTTCATCGTAGTACAGTGTTTTCTTTGGAGCTATTTCTTTCTTGACAAGGATTTGAAGTTACTGGGAAGCATCCCAAGTCTGCCTCTGCTTTACCTTTTGCATGCTTTTCACAAGCTTCGGGATCCTCCCAATGAAAAGGGCTCTACCGCATGTACACACCTATCAATATCAGCTTGAGATAGTATTTACTGTCTTCAGCCAAGCATGCTTCCGTAAAGAAGACGTGAGCCCCTTATCCCTACGTTTCCTATAGCAAATTGAGGCCGAACAGATTTAAAGAGAGCACTATCTGTGTAAGAGAGAGTTGCACATCAGAATATCATGTAGTATCATGATGTCAGATTACCCTTGATACATGGATTACAAATAAAGTACGACAGCAAAGGGACCAGGCACCGAAGCAGCAATCTCTTACCAGCTTGGGCAGGCTTCTTTTGGAAAAGACTCTGCGTGGGCAGTGGAGATGGAGATGAGCAGAACACCAGCTCCGCATGTTGAGCCATTCCACAGTTCGGGAGGGGAGAGGCCCATCCTCCTTATGGAGCAGGACAAGTTGCTTCTGGGCTCGAACTGCGGTGTTCTCCAGCATCCTCTCCAGCTACAGCACGTTACATATAGCAAAGGAATGGAGGTGTCAGGTGATTACTGCTCCAGTATCAGTTTAACTGAATAGCATATTGTGAAATACATATACGCACACACATACACATCTGATCCCTATGCCCATCTGAATCTGCAGACAACTCTGCACACTACGAACCCTCAAACAAGATTGATTCAGACAACTACACTGTCAGCAGTGGGCTCACACGGCATACAGAACTCCAAAATCAGACAAGGATTCAAACCTGACTACCAAAAATGAATGCCTCTTACCTAAAACACAGACCATCAAATGCACAGCGCAGACACACGCTGTTCATGCAAAATGAGATTCCTTCCCAGGTCATACTTAAGCCTACAAACATTCAGCGTGTTTTGTTCTTTCACTTCCAATCAGATCACTACTTCTTCCTTACATTCCTTATTTTTTTCCCTTATTTTGTTGTTTTAGGCAACTGATGGAGTCTCGCTTTTACTGTGCTTCCTGCCTCCCACATACAGTCATGAAGAACCAACACAACGTGACACACAAGAACGCTGCAGATGGTACCAGTCCTGGGCTCTTCGGAGGTTAGACTCAGCACTTCACAATCCTAAAAAACCCACTTGTGACCTCATTTTTAAATTTCTTGCAGAATTTATGTGCCTGGTCAAACAACTTTGGTAAGAAAATATCAAAAATAAAAATAGATAGTAAGGGGGAAAAAAAATACAGCTTACAATCTATAACAAAATACATTAAATTACTCCTACAATACAATTTATATCTACTTTTTCCTAGACACACACCATGAGTTCCATCCAGGCAGAACAGAATTTCTGTCTCTATCTGGAGAGCCTGCAAGGAAATTCTGGACAGAAAGGCAAACCTTCAAAGCAATTTGGCTTTTGATTTACCATTGGCCAAAATGCTCTTGAGAGGAAAAGAACTTAGCTGGAAACACTGCTATATAAAACTTGCCATTTCAGAGCATCCTCATTCAATTCTTTTTCTACTTATAATACGCATTTCTCAGGAATATTTCATTATTTATGCTTCACTGGGTATTAAAGCCAGGAAAACTCATGAGTGTGAAACAACCCTCTTTGATCTGGACTGTTAACGCTGCAAATCCAGGAAGGAGCTATTTCCACACCTCTCCAACAGTAGGTTCCTGGTCTCCCAGACCAACGATTAAGATGCAGTCAGCCTGCCGGATGCAGCGTTGAGTCCAGGGAGTAAGGGTGCTGTCTGCCTGGTACAGTACGATACGGTGAATATCCTCCTGCTGCCCCAGCCAGCTGGTTAGTCGGTATTCGTGGATACTGGGGACAGAAAACAAACAAATTCAAATGGTTTTATATCGCAGCTCCTGATAGAGCAGAGAGAACTCTTCCATGTCAAGCACAAAAGCTGAAGGGCATCAGAGACCTGCATCTCTCGCTCATCCAGTCGAAGAACCTTATCTGCCCACATTTCCAGGGCTCATGCTTTCTTTATTTCTCCATTATTTATACCATTAGATATATACAGAGAGGAAAGAGGATACAGTGATGCCTAACTTCACTAAGACTTCCAAGGCATCCCTAAGAACGAGTACACAGTACCCCCTTGGAGCAATTCAGCTTTTCCAATTTCACAAGCAAGAAAGTAACTATGGAAAAAAAATCCAAACCCACCCACGTTTAAACCAAATACCGTTGAAACATTGTTGGCTCAAACACCTCGATGAGAAAGCACAATATAGGTTAGAACACAGGATTTTGTTCCCAAACACTGTATATTTATAAGACCAGTATCTTTCTGCATTTTTTCATAAGTAATAATGAGGGCAGGTACCTATCCAGTGCAGCAGAACCAAGTCGCTGTTTGATGTTATCACTGGTGAGGAGCAAAGCAGGACCTGGAAGAACAGAAAGTTCCCATGAGAACACCTGCCATTCAGCTCCTGACAAAATGTATCGAGAAAATGTAGCTACAACCAATGCAGTTCTGTGAATTTGCTTTGAAGGTCATGATGGATCAGTGCACCGATTAGAGTTGTTGGAGAAGCAAGAGCTGGCACAAAGTTATCATAGAATCCCAGACTGGGTTGGGTTGGAAGGGACCTCACAGCCCACCCAGTCCCACCCCTGCCATGGGCAGGGACACCCTCCACTAGCCCAGGTTGCCCAAAGCCCCATCCAACCTGGCCTTGAACACTGCCAGGGAGCCAGGGGCAGCCACAGCTTCTCTGGGCAACCTCTGCCAGGGCCTCAGCACCCTCACAGGGAAGGATTTCTGCCTCACATCTCATCTCCATCTCCCCTCTTTTAGTTTAACCCCATTACCCCTTGGCCTGTCACTACACTCCCTGATAAACAGCCCCTCTCCAGCTTTCCTGGAGCCCCTTCAGGGACTGGAAGGGGCTCTAAGGTCTCCCCGCAGCCTTCTCTTCTCCAGGCTGAACAACCCCAACTCTCTCAGCCTGTCTCCAGAGCAGAGGTGCTCCAGCCCTCAGATCATCTCCGTGGCCTCCTCTGGACTCGCTCCAACAGCTCCATGTCCTTCTTGTGCTGGGGACCCCCGAGCTGGACGCAGCACTGCAGGGGGGTCTCACCAGAGCGGAGCAGAGGGGCAGAATCCCCTCCCTCGACCTGCTGGTCACGCTGCTGGGGATGCAGCCCAGGACACAGTTGGCTTCCTGCGCTGTGAGCCTACATTGCCTGCTCATGTTGAGCTTTTCATCCACCAACACCCTCAAATCCTTCTCCTCAGGGCTGCTCTCAATCCATTCTCTGCCCAGACTGTAGTTGTGCTTGGGATTGCCTCAACCCATGTGCAGGACCCTTGCACTTGGCCTGGTTGAACTTCACGAGGTTCTCACATAGTCCCACCTCTCCAGCCTGTCCAGGTCCCTCTGGATGACATCCCTTCCCTCCAGCGCGTCGACCCACCACACAGCTTGGTGTCGTCGGCAAACTTGCTGAGGGTGCATTGGATCCCACCGCCCACGTCACCAAAGATGTTAAACAGTGCCGGTCCCAATACCGACCCCCGAGGAACGCCACTCATCACTGGTCTTATCATGAAGATTTTCGCACTCACCTACTGTAACATCTTCCCATTCTCCGTGTTCCCTGAGCTCTGTTATTGCCTTAGTCTCAGCCTACAAGCTCTCTTTTATCGCATTCCTCAGTCTCACGTAGGATGACAGTTTCTACTGCAGCTGCATTTTCACAAACGCAACATTCCAAATACCACGTACCTTTCCCAACCACTGAAAGCCCAGGGATCTGGCTTCGAAGACAAAAGCTATTTCGCTGACCTACTGAAATACCTCATTTGTTCATCCTGCACTGAACCAACTCTCCAGATGAATCCTGAAGCTCTCTATAGCAGTACCACTTCTTATTCAATATGCCAACAGGAACCTGTATCACTACCAACCCCAAGGAGAAAGAGACTCCCAAATCTGCAGGGCACGGGCTGTTCCACTACCAGGATAGGCATACGCACATCTGGCTACAACAGTATATCCGAGATGAATTTTGGTGCACATATTTATTTTTCTTATTAGCAATTTTATTTCATCAGCAGCAATACGTGCCATATGTGGTGGAGGTTGCAAAATAACTGCAACTAAATACAAAAAAGCAAAGAAAAAAAACCTTAAGGGATTAATCTCATACCTAAAGAAAAGATTCTCTGTCTCATATTGAGAAAGTCACATTTACGAAACATGAAAGAGCAGTTGCTTTGTTTGAATGTTTTCATAATGTAATCCTTCATTTTTTCATTAATAGAAGAACTGAAATTTATGTACGAAATAACAAAACACTTAATTATGTGAGGTCTCTCAAGGCATTAATAAAGCAGCATGGCTTAATGCGTTTAGTAAAAAATCAAGGAACCATGAACAAAAACATGGTAAAAGGTTGCAATTTCACACTTAAATGCTCAAAAAGCAAAAACCACAAGTACAGTACCTGGAGCTGGCACCCTGACCTTCAGGGCCAACTCATTCCCCCACAACGCTCGATTCCTCCTGTGAAGACTTCACTTCACTCTGTTTTAATATACTTTAGGGTGAGACTTGAAAAGAACTCGGAAGTATGATTTTTTTATCTTGTATTTTCAAACATCCAAACAACATTGCTCTTTGTTACACTGATGATGAAGGAAAAGCAAACAAAAAAGGACAAAAATTTCCCCAAAGTTGAGACCAAAAGATAAAAAGTAAAAGCTGGTAAGAAAGGAGGATGACTTGAGAGTAGAATTTAATTTCCACATCCTCCAATAAAGCTTATGGGAGTTGCTTCCTATTATAGCAACAAGTCCAAAGTAGAGGGAATTAGTTCATAAGCATTTAGAGACCTGAACTGATTTAACCTGCCCTTCGCTCCTGCATCTGTGCTGCTGCTCCATCTGTGCTCCCTGAACCGTCTGTCTACAGGGAACAGACCCAACGCTCACGGGAGCCTTTACCACTCAATTTTTAACATTGGTAAATTCTTTGATCTGGTTCGACATTCAGCCTCACAAGGAGTTGGGCTAGCACAACTCTGGATGAGGTAACAGGATCAAAAGAGGTCTCCCAGAAGGAGTACTCATTGCATGCTATGAAGACAGCAAGGGAGAGAGGACAGGTAAATTTTGAAAAAGCAGACAACAGCAGAATTATCATTTGTGTTCATTAATGTGTCAAAGTTCTCAGCAAAATAGAAATGATATGTAGACCAAACATTCTCACAGAATATGTGACTTACAAAGCTTTATGACAGTGAGGGAAGTTTAGCAGGCAAAGACGAACAGCCAGGAATGTAAAACGAGCTGAGGAATACAATAAAAGTGTCAAGTAAGAGAGACTAACGACGTGGAGGGAACAGCGGGCTCCACCTCTGCATTTGCCTCTTACCTCACTGAGATCCAAGAACATCAGCAGAGGAGCTCGGAGTGCATCATACACCACCCGATCCGATGCACTGGGGGCACCTGCCCTAAGGGGAAACCAGGAAACCCAGCGACCCAGCAGCCAGAACGCCTTTTATACAAGTAAGAGACAGGCTTTGGAGAGCCGGAGTGCAGCTTTAGTTAGTCAAGGTGATGGTTACTTCACCCACAGGCACCTTGAACGGGGACAACACACCCCCACCAAGCATCAAAAGAGCCTCAAGAGAGGCAGATGACTTCAGAAGTCACGTCCTCTCACCTCACTTTTGTATTTGGAAAAGGGGCAGCTCCCAATACATGACACAAACACGTGTATCCAGGCAGAGAGAGCGCTGTGTCGGCTTGGGAGGAGCCTGCCCAGCATCCCCTCTGCACACTGGCAGCGCGGGATGAAGACGCCCAGACCCTTATTCATCCCCAGCACAGAACACGGCGATGCTTCCAACTGAACCGACTCTGTTTTGCTTCAGAAATAACAACCATCTGCTCTACACTTCCAATTTCTAGCAAGCTCCCAATTAATCAACCATTAAATAAGCCTCCATTAATGTGATCAAGAACACCAACATATGCGTTCTCTAGTGCATAAAACAGAATGACCAAAAGTCTTATTTAAACTAAACTGCTGAGAGCAATGAAGCAATGAATTTTTATTAAATCATTCTCAAGTACATACCCCTCAAACAGCCACACCAGCAGCCAGAAACGTCCAAGACGACGTGTTAGTGCATCCTCAACACACATTATCATAGTTACATACCATCAGCTATCTAGGGACGCTCTCTCCACACCCAACATCAGCCTCGCAGGCAATTTACGGCTGCTGTTGGCATCATGAAAACATCCCTCCATCCTCCAGCAGCTGCCTGCACCCTTCAGGGGTTGTTCTCTTCCAGCAGGATTAGACACGGGGTGAATAGCTCAAAGTTAAGAACACAGGAGAGGTGACATGAGGTAACATTAAGTATTTATCTAAGCGCAATAGCGTCTCTCTGACTGCGACCAGCAGCAGATTGCTGGGGAAGAGTATTAGAGCAAGGAAAACTTAAAGACATTTTCCGAGCCTCCAGCGATTTGCAGTTCATGAATTCTCCAGCCAGAGGTGATGACTTTTAATAGCCCCTGGGGGATTTTTCTTTCAGTGAACTCACTGGGATTCTGAATCTCAGCTTTTATGGGCTTTAGGTGAGAAAACACGGCATGGCAGCAGTCGTACCCCCAGGCACAGAGGATCATGATTCATGCAGAAACCTCATGAAGCATCTAAACTGGTACAACAGAGTCATCTGTTTTTCAGTAGAGAACTACAAGCCTGAGAAAGAGAAGTGAGGAGAAAAAACAAATGCTGGCAAATATCAGTCTAATTCATTTTATCTTTTAAGATTAAAAAACCAAAAACACCAAACAAAAAAGGTGTCTTTTAAGGCACTCAAGAAAAGGCTGAGACAGCCCTTCAGCAAGGCTTCCAAGCTCAAATCCTGCCCCAGTGAAGAGACGCAAGTATCACACAAGAGACACAACTCTTTCTTTCTTTCAAAAAATGAGCATGGTACTCACTGTTGTAATTCTTTTTTCCACAGAAGACCAATTTCTTAAGATGTGAAGGAGTGGCCATACAGATATCCTAGATCTAAGTCCAATAAAACATGGTCAAAAAGTTGCCCAGAGAAGTCAGAGGCCCAGAGGTCAAGGACTGATCTCTGATGGTTAGAAATGGTTGCAAATTCACCTCACCCGGAAAAAACACTCGCACAAAAAGATACATCCAGTACAAAATGCACTGTGGAAAAATTTTAGCACAACAAACTTACTTGCCTGGACCTCATCAAAAGAGAATTTATGTTTGGCCTAATAAAAGTCTACAAAATTATGTGTCCAAGAGACAGAACTGATAAATGAGTTTGACGTCCCAGTGTCAGAAGATCTCGCCCAGCAAAAAAATACCAAGTCGTGCCAGGGTCCAGGCACCACATTAAACATTTAACATTTCAATCTCATCTGTGCGTAAAGAAGGGAAATTCAGGCAGAACTGCAGTTAAAAACTCCAATAAATTATTAGTAAAGATATTTCAGTGAGCTTTCCAACACATGATACATTTTTAGAAATGAAAAGAAAGCTTATATTTAAAGGGCAGAAAGGAAGGAGAGAGACACATATGTTGGATTTGAATCCCCCTCTACTTCACTTTCAAATTATATATGCTCAGAGGGCTCCCACATATGATCAGAATTTGCACAGCCATGTGGTATTTGGCTGGTCTCAGTAAAAGAACAAAAAAAATAGTCAGGCAAATATTTTTTAAAAATCTGAATACTGCAGAAGAGCTTTTTCATAAAAGATAATATCAGCTCTACCAGGATTAAAGGGAAAAATATTAATAATAAAGGACATCAGGAACCTTGACCAGAATTCATTGGCACGGTTATGCTAATCTGGAACTCCGCAGAGCAGTAAAACTTGCCCACCTTCATTTCACTCCAGTTCAGAAGTGGAAAATTCCATCCCCACTTTTTGGAAGTTCTCTATTCTACATCCTCTTTTTTGGAGCCCCAAAGACCAAGAGTCAAAGAAAGGCCTTTCACACCGAAGCATACAAGCGAACGGAGTGAGGAAGCAGAGCTGTAGCCTCCGGTTCACCACGCTGTGCAGGACTTTCCTGCTCTCTCCTCAACACTCAGATCATGTTTTAAATTTATACCTATCTCAAGAGGAATCAACGTAGAGTTATTGCCACCAGGTACCAGTGACCGCTTCACAGTCCAGCTTTTAACAGAAGAAACCCCATGGAAACACGAACACCCTTAATATTTAATTGGGACACAATCAGACTGCCTGGAAACAATATCTGAATTATCATAAACCACAGAAACGCCAAATCCCAAAGAAATCAGCACAGATTGGTTGGATAAAGCTGTGGGTGGTACCACAGGCTGGTGCTCCCTGTGTGCCCAACACAAGCGCAACTGGGCAGCCAGGCCAGCACACGCTGGGGCCCACAAAGCCCAGTGTGGGGAAGAGTCTGGTCATGTAGAAGCTCCCACTGCAAGTAAATAAATAGAAATTAAAAACCTAAAATTATCCAACGCAACAGACTCAAGCAACCAAACCAATAATCCTGCCTCATTACAGGTAAAAGTGTTTTGTGGGCAAAAATAAAATAAAAAAAATATTCTGAATAATTTTCCAATTCTTGTGGATGCTATATATTAATTCATGATGTTACAAAGCTTCCGCTATCAGATTGAGATATTCCATTTGTCATTATTTTTATTCTCCTTTAATAAGATGAAAGCAGTTCAAAATTACCCAAAAACTCTCCTGTTAATTAGATTAACCTACAACCAGCTGCAACTCATGGCACTGCCAACAGCCTTCAAATGCCAGTTCCGGGAAAAGAAAAACCATCCTCTAATCTCATTTTGCAGGCTGAGGTGCAGCCCCGGTGCGTCCCGACCGCTCTCCCCGCAACAGGGCTCAGGCTGCAGCTGCTGCGGAGCCTGCGCTCGCTCGATCCTCGGCACGGATCTTGCAGCGATCTCACATCAGCGCCTGCGCTCTCCTCCTGTCCTCGTCTCCAACGTGCAGCAAGGGGATTCTAGGCATCCCTGCAAAATTCACCTACCTCAATACAAACCAGAAGAGTAAGGTATTTTCTAAAATAACACACTAAGTTGCAATGGAAAGCTAAAACCGTCTGCTTTCACCCCGTACGTGCTCACATGTACCAAGGCTAACCTCCACCACTCCGGAACATATTTCAAACCCAGAGCAATGAAACCAATCAGATCAAATGTTAAGTCAAGTGTTAAATGGCAACATCTGATTACGATTTACAATAAAAAAAAAAAGTTGGTTCGAGAAAAAACAAAAGGATAAATAACAGAAATATGCTAACAGCGGCAAATCTACACAGAGAAACTTGTTATTTTCAAAATTAGGAATATATGCACCAAAAGAGCCTTCCTTCATAAGCCTTCTCAAACATATGCAATAACACTCATAAATACACATTTAAGGTCTAACGGCGGCACACAGCCAAACCCCAAGTGCAAAGGGGACAACCCCAGTCGGGAGGGGGCCGAGGCCTGTGGTTCCAATACACCGGCTGCTCACCATGGCCCTGACGCAAATCTCCTCACAGAACGGTTCTGTTTCCTCACAGGTTGAACGGACACAGTTCTAATGGTCAGGTGAATACTGTGTAAAATGAAATTTTACTTCACAGCACCGACTTTACTGCTCATTTTGGTTTTTAATGCAAGAAGGCAGAAGAAAAATGATCCCCAAAGCCCACCCCCTTTCCTCACAGCAAAGCACCATCTGGCACATCGTGCTAAGCACTTGTCACGCACCAATAAGGAATACCCAAACAATTAATAGCCATAGTACAAAGGAGAAAACACAAAAGCTATAAAAAAAAAAAAAAAAAAGAGAGAATGCTGCTTCTGCTAAAAAAATAAATGAAATAAAATACAGCCTTGCATGAAAACCCCTCAGCACTGTACAGTACGTAAACACGCACAGTAAAGCGCTGGCAGAAGGTTAACCACTGTCTCGGAGCATCGTGGGGCTGAATAAGCGAGAGGCTGACCTGCCGAGCAGAGGCTATCAAGGCCAGAGAGCCTGGTCTGCCAGCTGTGTGTTGAACCATATGGCTCGCTATGTTTTCACACAACACTCCTCTTCCCACTGCAGCCGTCTGCTCCATTTTGGCAAGAACTTCAGATGCCAAGGTTGTATAGTACCGTCTATAGCTGCCAAGCACTACGCAGACGTCAGTTTAGGAAAAGAAAAGAAAAAAGAAGGGTGAATGAAGAAAGGTCAAGTGATCAAAACTCCTTGCTTGTTAGGTTCTAGTTGCTTTCAACTAGCGTAGTTATTTTTAGTCTGAATAGTCCATCGATGTACTTAAGTTTTCATTTGTTTTATTTACAGGCTCCTAGTGCTGTCACACATCAAAACAAGCTGGCAGCAATCCATAAGAAGTACCCATTAGCAATATAGCTACGGCTGAGATCTGCGCTCCCTCATGGATGTAAAATCCTTCTGCCATCTCAAAATAAGAGGAATCTTCAAAGACCTACAAATTAGTACTCACTGTAACACGCTTCCACCATAAGCTGCATACAAATTCATCTTTCAAAAGGTGAAAGAGTTCAAACATCAAAAGCTTTTTCCTATGTCTGCTCACCTAGAAGATTTTTTAAGCAGAATAATAAGGGCCAGCTCAGATACCCTTAAGGTCAAAAAGGAAATAACCAATAAATGTAAGTGGTTATACCTCAAGCATCATGTAACCTGTATTTTTCAAAATAATAAGCTGTGAGATAGCAGAATAACAATTCATCAAAGGACTACAGGAGATTTACTCAAGACATCTGTGATAGTGCATGAGGATGAGAAGAGGATGTTCAGGAAATGTCAAACTAGTACTGAGCGTGAACTGAATTGTGAATTGAATATAGGGGTTTGCGAGCAATTGGAACCTAGACACACAACTTCACCAATGGATAAAGGAACTAACTGTGAGCCGAATACGTGGTTTTTTTGAGCACGAGACAGACAAACAAGCTGGCAACAAAGAGGACAATGATTTAAGACCTAAGTTTGGACTTCCTGTGCCAACCTGGATCTCCTCCACAAGCCTCTTCCATCACGTCTTACGCTTACCACTCACTGCACTACCTCAACAAAAGAAAACTGTGTAAGAAATCCTTTTCTGGATGAAGCTGTCCAACTGAGGAAGCCTGAAAGACTCTCACATGTGAGGCAGACAATCAGACTCTCAGACAGGCACCGTGGGAGCGGCGCACTGGTGGGATTGTCCACTGGAGTGCCCGCAGCCTCGGTGCTGATGGCAGCCAAGCGAGAGGCCGGGCAGTCTGGCTAACATTTCCGAGTCGTTAAGGCCACAAAGTTTTCCACTAAAATTAAATGCACGTTAGGGCTGGGGACAGAGAAGCCAGTGATTACGAAAAAGGCTGATCCTGAGCACTGCTGCACCGCTACCCCCCAATGCGCCATGAATCCACCTTTGACTAATGACTGGTACCCGGCCATACCTCTCTAAAAAGATAAGCAGCATTCATTTCCCGCGATGCAGTAACGTGTAAACACTTCTTACCCACAGCACTGAGAGCATGCTTGAGCTCCAGAGTAAAAGCTGTAAGTGGCACCTCTTCAGACACCGGCATAATTGCTACCGTGGAGAGATTGCTGGCAGGATTTCCGGCATCCCACTTGCTACTCGAGCTGTGTAATCCAAGAGGATGACCTGTTCGAAAAGAAAAAAAACCTTGCCATCAGCCAACCCAGAAAGGAAGGCGTCATTTCATTGTTTTCAACTGCCAGGCAGCAAGGAAAGGATCACTGAATTGCTTAACCCAAGAAAAACGTAACATCCTCCGTCTCACAGAAAAGGAAAGAGTTCCCACATATTTCATTCGTAAGAGAATGAAGATTAATTTCTATCACTTTTGGCTGCTGACATAGGACGTGTGGGTAAAAGTCAGGCAATGCTAAAAACATCTGGATGCCCGGGACAGGTTAAATACAATGTGCATTTACCTGACCTGTTAAGAGAAAGATAAAAAGGCACTCTGAATCACTTTGAACAGGCACATCTTTGGGACAAGCATTGATTTAGCCCACAAGAGGAATTAGCTTAAATAACAAAAACCCTCAAACCTGTTGTCAGTATCAAAATACTCCAAAAATTAACATTCACATGTTATGGTATCCCTGATCAAGGAAATAAATACCTGTTTTCAACAAAGTTCCTATAGGGAATGTTTATCTCCACCTATTTTCACTTCTCTCCAAGATGGGAAAACGTGGAGCTTTACAGATATGTGCTTAGGAGTACTAAAATAAGATACGGAACCTTCGAAGTAGCTGCAAAGTAACTGTGAAAATATCTCCAATATATTATGGTAAGCTGAGTATGGACCATGAGTACAGGCAGAGGAAAGCATTTTTTGACAGAAGCAAGCGATGCACGTAACAAAGATGAAGATCTTCCTAGATAGCTTAGAACATGAGAAGACCAATGATGGGGGTGTTCTACAAACTGTTCTTTTTAATTTGATACTATTTCTTTTCTCTTTAAATAAGCCTTCTCAGACAACCTTGCTTTGCTGCTAATGCCTATCAACTCAGCTCTAAGTACCCAATAAACTCATTGTCATCTAAGTCAGGGTTTAATATCCTGCTTATCTCATTTCACCCAGCAAAAGCCTAAGATTCACCATTAAGATGAATTCTTGAGATGGATGTATGGAAGTACTTGATATACCATATGAAAACTCATTCCAAGTCTATATGCAGCATCGACAGTACGCTGCAGGACACAAAGAAATATCATATAAACCTTTTTCAAGGACTGAGATCTTCATTTCAAGTCTTCTAAAATAGCTCTGCACAGAACATTAAATAGTTTTTCCACTCTTCAAGAAGATATTTGTAGGTTCAAACAAGTTACACATCGCTGTGCAGCTCCTTCTTCTCCATCCGTCCTTCCCTCCTCAGAACTTCAATGGCGATTCTCTGATTGAACTCCTCTAACTGTCACTAATTTTCCTTCCATTTTCCCCAGACAGCATATTGCCCTATTTCCAAAGCAGCACGGACTCCGCCCGAAGCCACCAAGGCATTTCAGCACGCACAAAAGTTTAAGTACAATTATCACTAGAGATCCACATACAACCGATTGTGTACAGAAAGCTGAGCACGTAAAGAAAGAGCGGACTTTGAGATTCACTCCCCAAAACATGAGAGTTGGCTAGCTCATTTTCAGCCTCCTTGGAATGTTGTAAAAACAGCAATAAAAATAATTTTAAAAACCCAAACAAAAACTAAACAACCCACACCAGCAAAGAACCCCGCAACACCCTCAGCAGTTAACGTGCATCTGTTTTCTTTTAAAAGCTACTCAAGAAAAATTTGGAAAATTTCCTCCTACTCACTTCAATCAGTAAATACACTTTGTTTTGCCTCGGCCACATACACAAAGCTTAAGAACCAATCCATAGCAGACCACTTGCTCTCAGACAATTCATTAAGACAATGCAAATACAGACATATTAAGTCAGTCTACAAGCAGATGTCACTCAGCATGACTATCTGATTCAAGTCTATTACAGCTGCTATTTCCAATGCTCCCTTTAGCTCTTCTCTTGCAAGAAATTTCAAGGAAATTTCACTGCACATATGCACCAGGACTTTTCCATCTCAATTGCAAAACATTCCATTCCCACACTTACTTAGCCATGCTCCACCAAAAAAAAAAAAAATTGTACACACATATATATAAAATAAAATCACCAGTGACAACAGCTAAAATATTTAGCGACAAATTCTCTTTTCAAGTATGTACTTTCTGTTTCCAGATTTAACGATGTAAATCTAGCTCCAAGGGAGCACCAGCATCAATGGGAGTAGTCCAGGAATGAGTCTTACCTCCCTGCTGAAGACTGCCAAGAATCTTCTCGCCCAGCAAGTGAATAAGTCTAGTCACAACCTAGCAATGGGAGAGAAAGAAAAAGAAAGGAAACAAACATTCAGGCAGAATATACCAAAAATAGTGCATCTAAATGGATATTTTCAAACTTTTGTAAGATGTTATCTCAAGTTGAACCATTCAGAGACATGGTTTTATAACCGTAGCTTCTTTCCTGGCTGTAATGTATGGCGTTGGATCATTTGCCTTGATTTCTTTTACCTTATTTTGCTCCAATCTGGAAAAACAAGAAAACAAACCAAACCCAAAAAAGGCAGTACTTAACTTGCTTTGGGAACAAAGAAAAAAATCCAAGTATTTTGGGAAACATGTCAAATCGCATTTTCAGTTCTCCTCTTGTGTCTCCGCAGTGCCCTTGCGCCTCTAAGTCCCTCTCCCATCGCGTGGCTGTTGCAGCCCTCTGCCTCCTGTAGGCACTAAGGGCTCAAAAAGGTTCAAGTCTGTACTCAGACAGGTCCCCCACACATTCTCGCTTCCACCTGACCCCCTGGGAATTAGTCAGTGTTTGTAGTAACCACTTTAAGACATCTTGAATAAAAGAGAGAAATACACACTGCTAAACAACTGCAGAATCAGAACAAACTACCGAAGAAATTGCTTTCCCCCTCAAATCACGTTTGTGTGGTACCTTTGAAGGGACAGATTTTTTTCAAGAGGACTTCCATCGCTATAAACCAATATTCAAATAGCCCAGCCTATCTGAAAAGTGACAAGCTTATCTCCAACATTAACAATCGATAATTCCCAACAAGTGGTGTAGCAGAAGACTAATAATCACAATACCAAGGAGTGACAGACTTGGAAAATGCATCATTTGTTCTGAAAAGCTATGCACAAATGTTTTATCAGATAAGGAAAAGAGATATTTAAATGCATTAAGAACTAATAAAGCAATCCTTAGATACTCTTCCCCAGACAGAGAATACAAGGTCAACACAACTCTAATCTTCAGGAGGACATAAAAAAACCCCCAAACCCCACAACAATAAGAGTTCTCCAAACTCTTAACAAGCTAAACAAGCAGCAGCAAATGGCTGCCTTGGATTTGGACACAGACAGACACGCTGTTCCCGTAAGAACAGGCACTTCAGGATGCATCTCTCAAATAAAAGACCATGTAAACATCAAGACAGGTCAGCATGCCCGTCAGAATCATTTATATATCCTGCTTTAAAAAAAAATAAAATACAATACATCTCCCTAGACTACAAAACTCTGTAGCTTTAATAAGTATCAATATTTTTTAAGCATCTGGAGGAGGAAGGGAGGAGAGCAAACAGGTAGCTTCCAACACAGTGTGACTTACAGCAGAGCAAGGAGAAAGAGCTAAGCAAAGTTATTTCAGTAATTTCTGTCCCACAGCTGTAACTGCACATTCCTAAAGGTGTCACATCAACAGTCTCCTCAGTGGTCCATGATCAACTTCTTTAAAGTTTCTCTTATTTGCACACAATCGTCTGTACCCGCTGATGCCGCATGGCCACTGCCATTAGCGAGCGATGGCGGGACGATGGCAGGTCCCAATGGCAGGTGAGCTCTCAGCCTCCTTCCTCATCCTCGAATCTCAAACAGGATCTAAAACACTTCCCTTTGTCCAGAATACAAGTGCTGATGATCACCCAGCCGATTCCTTACCACTTTAATAACGCCCAGATCAGCAGTTCTGAGATTCAACTACCAGCGCTGGGTGTAACTATGGAAAATTGCCCCAACGACGGGGAGCAGGGAGGGAAAGCGGGAATTCTTACTAAAAGCTATGAGACAGATCGCCCCTGCTAAGGGAGATAACCTGCCTCTCGCAGGCGTTCACTGTTCCCAGCTCACACGCATTCACCTGACAACCTGTATCTGCACTGAGACTTTGCTTAAGCAGTTTTGGAAGGTGTGATGAACATTTCTGAACCACTTTAAACGTCAGAATTTTAATTACTTACTAAAATCATCTCCTGTATTTATAACTCCTTCTGCTTTACAGACAGCTAAGGAGAGCTCCAGCTAAGTTAAAGAAAACATCCAAGGTTAATGATGGAACTAAGAATAGAACCTATTGGTCTCATTTTCCAGTTGGCTGCTCCTATTACCAGGAAATATTATTTGTCTTGTTTGCTAGAGCAAACCTTACAGCCTTGGTATGTATAGATATGGAAAAATTATTTCCCTGGTGACTTTGTAAGACAAGCAAATTGCTAACCACAACAGGATGAGTCACTCTGTCGCAGTCATGGCAACATCGAAGGAACATCAATTTGGGATTGGAGCTAAGAACTGGCCTGAAATTTCCTTGGAGTTTGAGATTACATACTCTACATTTTCTTTCACCAAAAGGCAATGTGTTCCTTTAAAAGGGACTTGTCCATCCATCTCATGGAGAAGTCAAGATAAATCACCTCTCTTCATCGACAACAGACCCAAGCTTCAATGACCGACCTACACCCATTACTGTGCAGAGCAGCCAGAGCAGCTTTTACTAAATTCAGTACAACTGTGAGAATTAAAAAAAAAACCCTTTTTTAGGTTTCCAAACACTGATATCGTAACCCCACCAGTAACATGGCACAACCTAAGAGAGTACGAGAAGGAAGGCAGAGGACCCGGGAGAGGACCTGGGGTGGCATGGAGGGGGCTGGTTTAGCTTGGGGAGGGGTGGAGAAGGAACCAAGCAGAAATCAGCCCTCCAGCTGGGAGGTCTCAGACAAGGATGGCAGGGTAACGAGTTCTTCCAAGCATGCCTGAAAGAGCCAGGCAGGAGAGAGGCAGATAGCAGGGCACCGGCAGGCAGGTACCTCGGTGCAGACATCTGGGTGGTGATTCAGCAATCGCTCATTCCCACCCTACTTCTTCAGCCGTATTTTGTAGGAAAAGCTATGGGAATTGGCAGTGAGGGGTTGGGCAGAGGGGGGAGGCAGGAACTCTGGCAGCACTGCTGGGAAAACCGGGTTGACCTGGAAGAAACGCTGAGCTTTTGATCCTCTGGAGGTGCCACGCAGCCTCCAGCACTGCCCCCATGACGGACTGGGTACTGCTTTTCCAGAAGTAGGCAAGACTTCTACCCCCTCTCCCATGCAAACACCCACCTTTCCCAAGCACGGTGCCAGAGGAGCACAGAGCACTTCCCAGACATCTGTACATGCAAAAATTGTCTCATTTCCACAGTGTCACCATCACCCAGGGCTAGACAGCCTTCACAGCACAGTTGGAAGCATCTGGTGTGCTCATCCCTATGGCGTATCCCGGATTTTACAGTCTCTTCTAGCACCCATCCACCCAGCCCTGCAAACACATACCCCGCTCGCCACAGACACCGAGTCTCAGCCCAATCTGCTGGCACAGAATCAGGCGCTTCAGATCTGAGGTTTGAAGAAAAATCTGCACTGCAAAAAGGCAGAGAGTCGGAGCCCAGACTTATCCAAGAACACTGAGAGGTTTCTAAATTAGGCAAGGATCATTAATTGCCTGCAAAGTAAACGCAAACTTTTTGACCTCTTGTACTAGGGATTGAGCCAAACTTGGTTTAGTTTATGAGAAAGTTGAATTTATCATTCCTCATGATTAGAAAACGCGCTAGCGGTGAGCCGATCCTGCCCAGTTAATCACAGTTAATCACTTCAAGCAATAACGAGAAGCAGAGACATCGATTAGGCACTTCTGTTGTAAGGCCAGAACAGAGCTACAGCTGCAGGATAAACTGGGCTTTGTGAGGAGGAGTGCACTTTCCTACCCACTGCTGCCACCTCCAGCTGTGCAATGACTCAGAAAGGTCACGATGCTTTGCCACCAACCTCAATACGCACCTCCGGGGCTCGCAGCACGAGGCTGGGCTCTGGAGCCACGGAGCCTGCCTGGGTCTTAAAGACGATTGGGTCAATGTTCAAAAAAAAAACCCCAAATCAAACCAAAATTCACTGTCCTGAGCTTATGCAAAAGACTTTTCAGGCCAGAAGGAAGAAAACTGACCTTACAGGCCTGGATACCCAGTATTTCTCCATCTCAAAAGCTACTCGGGATTCCAAGGTGCATCAGTACCATTCTCCAAAAGCCCCAAAACCTCTCCTGCTCTCGCAGACCTTACTGCAACTATGCATTCATAAAACCCGTCCCCGAGCAGGACGTTCAGTTGAGACACACATTTTGCAAGGGAAATAAAATGTTCCTCCTCCTCCTCCTCCTCCCTTCCACCCACTCACCTTTTCAGATTAACTCACCAGAACACTTTTATGCAGGGCAAAATAGGGTAAAGAGCATTTCTCTTTCTCAGATGGTGTTAGAGAGCACTTTCCTCGGCACAATCCCACCTCTGACCCAGCTCACCACTCACCACCTCATCTGCCTAGAACCCCGTTGTCTTCCTGGCTGTTTCTGAACCAGCGCCATCCCCAGAAAGACTCCCTCCAGCTCTCAGCAGCCTCCAATCCCCCCGGCACCCTCACACTGAACGTGAAAGTTTCTGCATCTGCTCCAGAGAAGGCTCTGGGAAACCATTAATTTTCCCCCTGTTTAACTAACATTAAATTACTCGACAGCCCTGCAGCCTCTGCATTGCAGGGCAAGGACTAAACGGCGCATTCCCAAGGGGACCGTATTTGCCTACTTTAGGCTAATTCCAGTTTCAAACCAAACGTCCCTCGGCGGTGGGGCAGGCAGTGTTACAGCTCAGCATCACCGGCTAGCGATGGGGCAAACGCACCGCTGACTACTCCATCCAGCTCAGGTCTGAGGTGCTATTCACAGCTACCGCAATTCCCACACCACGATGTATTTCCTATAATCCTTTTAAATATTTCAACCTATTATCCACACCTAGCTAATCTTCCAAGGCTGGGTTCTAGTTAAAGATTTTGTTCCTATTCAACTGTGAAACTTAAGAGTTGCTTTACAATAAGCCCTTTTGAAAGTGATTTTCATGAGAATTCAGTTGTAAAATACTTTCCTGCGGATATTTATTTCATTCTGTGAACGGTGCGGATTGCCTCGCAAACTGACTATCTGCTAATAGATACCAA